TTGGTAAGTGAACCACAAGTTATAAAAAATAGTGAAAAAAATCATTAACAATTCTTAGACAATTCGCTCTAACAAATTTGGTTGGATAAAGTTTTTTAAATAAACTTTTGTTGAGGATATTTCAAACAATAAAGTAGCTTGTATGGATTTCTAAAATTTAATATAATGTTTATTTTTTGTTTAATATTTGGATGTTATTGTCAATATTTGTTATGAATAAATGTATCATATTTCTTATATTGAATAATTACAAATAAGTTGAAAAGTCAATTGAATAGATCGCTCTGTTACAGCACATAATTTATATATATATATATATATATATATATATATATATATATATATATGTTCTCTATAAAATATATTTACTCTTCTTTATTTACTTTACTAATTGACATTATTAAAGAACTTCCGTTATTTTCAATGTCGTCATAATTCACGTGAAAACTATTTTCTTATTTTAATGTTAATATTTAATGTGAAATTATTTATAAATTAGTATAAAAAAATATTAAGGCAAGTAGAGACAATTTTATTTAGAGTTATATTAATTTTTTAATAATTTTTTAGTAAATCTTAAAACGAGTGCTTTATCGATGTATACATTTTTAAAGAAGATTTTTTTAATATAATTTTACGACAAATTTTATTTTACATAAATTCCTTGTATCTTCCTTATTATAATGATATTTGGGTTTACTAAACAAAATTTTCATACCATTTTCTTAGGCAAATTTATATTTTGGTTTATATTTAAATATTTTTGTTTTGCTTACTGAAATTTGAACACTGATTTTGACCATATTTCAATTTATTTTTAAATCTATGAAGCTGATTTTGGATGAAATTAATATTTTTTTACACTTCTTTACGAATAATTTTGTTGATCCCTCTATTTTTTTGACTTTTTAACCACTTTTTAACTTTTTAAACACTTTTTCACTGCGATTTTAACCCTGATAAATAAAATTTACGTTTATCACTTAAATTTATTTTTAGAGTCTCAAAAGCTGTTTCAACATTTTACCTGAAACTTATATATTTCCTATCAAAATTTTCCTTAATCACCACATTTCATTTTACCGCTACTTCTGAATATTTTTACCATATTTTATAAATTTAATAATAATTATTATTATAATGAAAAATAGCAATAATGTATGGAAATTCCTCTCAGCATATGCACAAAAGGTAATTGTGGAATAATAAACGCAAATCCGAGTATTGTATAGATAGATGGATGTATGGATGTATGGATGGATGGACTCTGATAGAGAGGCACATACTTCTTGTAAAACACTGTCATAGTGGTGTAAGAGCTAATTTTCATCGAATTATGACAACAACAAGTGGTGTATGGCATCGTGCCTTAAGGCAAACTGCTGGAACTTCCCGTACCGTAATGAAATATTCGAGAAATTTTAAACGTGTTCAAATATATTATTACAAATACTGTAACTTTTATTATTTTTGCTATCTTGTTATATCTGAGCAAATCAAATGTAAATTATAAATAAATCAATTTATCTCCAGAACATTAACAATCGTCATTTCATTTCGAATTCAATTTCAAAAAAATAGTTGCCTAAAATAGTTACACAAAATTGCAAAAATACTCCTGTATAGTCAGTCTAAACGCATTTGCAAATAATTCTGTGCGACATTTTCACTTATACCGTGCTTAGCTTGGCGTCATTTTCACATTTTTCAATAGTTTTCACAAAATCGAAAAACTGCTCCTGTACATAAACAGTCTAAACGCACTTGGGTTATCATTTGTACTAGAGTGGCGCTTAGACTGTGCTTAGCCTGGATAATTTTTTCAATTTTCAATCCAAAATTACAAAAATATTTTATGGAAAATAAAAAAAGACGAAATAATTTTTTATCCTCAAAAGCAATTGTTTTGTCAATACAAGCAGAAAGTTTTTTAGATCATTTAAATCGGACGCTTAGTTCACTCAAAAACTGCCATTTTTTGCACATTTAGCTCTGTATCTCCGAAACCGCTGGATTTGCCTTTGCCAAAAACTAATCACCTCTTCTCCCCGTCATTACAAATTGAATGTTTTTTACATCATTCAAATCCGATACTCCGTTCTCTCAAAAACTCGATTTGTATTTTCTGCACTCTTTGCTCTTTATCTCCGTAACTGCTGGACCTGTCTTTGCCAAAACCTAATCAGCACATCTCCCTATCAATAGGGATCGAATGTTTTTTAAACCATTCAAATCGGTCGATTCGTGCGCCCGAAAACGTGAACGAAAAAATGCGGACATACACACATCCACTTTTTCTGAGGTATGCCAAAATGTTCAAAAACCTTCAAAACGTCGAGAAACGCAAAAATTTTCAATTTTGATTTTCGGTCCATTACAATAACTCACCCTACGGGAAGTTAATAAGTACATATCGAACATACAAATGATTTGAATAGATCATTTTGACCACCAAATTTTAAATGCTTTTTTAATCATTCTGAGTCACACACATACATTTATTCATTCTAATAATAAGGTTTACCAAAATGTTCAGAAGACTTTGGCGATGAAGTTAACTTAATTAATAATAATATATCATTAATTTATTTTGACATTTTTTTGTAAAAAAATAGTGATTATTAAAAATTCAAAGTCAACTGTCCAATTGTTCAATCTACGTTTTCTGTCTCCTTTAAGAGTGGGGTGCCAAGTTTTAATTCCTTAAGACGGACAGTTCTATTTTCTATCCAGTTTATAATCGAATTTCCTTTTCCCAGCACTAAATGAACGCGCCGCTGAGTCACGGCGAACGTGTGCCAACCGACCCGATAGTTACTCTACAGTTCCCCCAGTCAAATTCATACTATGTACCTTCAACTACATACAGGTACGTTTTACGTTGTATAATGTGCACATGTAGTGGAAAGAGAGAATATTTTGTATAACGAAATTTCCTAACAACAACGGACGTAATTATAATTAAGGTTAAGTCGAGTGCACATCACGCGCGTATGTAAATAAACATTAGTACATTAGAAACGTGTCTAGATAATACTGCCAGTTTTTGGACTCTCTCATTTAGACTTTACACTTACTGTCTGGTTTCTAGTCTTCCTATCTGAACTCTGATCTTAGTCTCTGCTCTATGAGAATATATGGACTCTAGATACAAACTCTGAACCATAAAATCTATCTCCAAGCGAGTTTTTTGGGCTCCGGGTACTCCCATTTCCATCCGGGGACTACAATTTTCATCCGGAGACTCCCATTTCCATCCGGAGACTCCCATTTCCATCCGGAGACTCCCATTTCCATCCGGAGGCTCCCATTTCCATCCGGAGACTCCCATTTCCATCCGGAGACTCCCATTTCCATCCGAAGACTCCCATTTCCATCCGGAGACTCCCATTTCCATCCGGAGGCTCTCATTTTCATTCCGGACTATCATCCGGGGACTCCCATTTTCATCCGGAGACTTCCATTTTCATCCGGAGACTTCCACTATCATCCGGGGACTCCCATTATCATCCAGAGACTTCTATTTCCATCCGAATATCCTCTTGGGACTCCTAATTTCATTGGAATATCCTCTTGAGACTCTCAATTTTATCTGGGGACTCTCATTTCCATCCGTGGACTACCATTTTCATCCAGGGACTTCCATTTCGAGCTAAATATCCTCTTGGGACTTCCATTTCCATCCAAATATCCTCTTGCGACTCCCAATTTCATTCGGGGACTCCCAATTTCATCCGTGGACTCCCAGTTTTATCCGGGGACTCATTTTCATCAGCGGACTCCCAATTTAATCTGAATATTCTCTTGGGACTCCCAATTTTATCCGGGGACTCCCAATTTCATCAGAATGTTCTCCCGGGACTCAGAATGTCCTCGAGGGACTCAGAATGTCCTCGAGGGACTCAGAATGTCCTCGAGAAACTCAGAATGTCCTCCAGGGACTCAGAATGTCCTCCAGGGACTCAGAATGTCCTCCAGGGACTCAGAATGTCCTCCAGGGACCCAGAATGTCCTCTAGGGACTCAGAATGTCCTCCAGGGACTCAGAATGTCCCCCAGGAACTCAGAATGTCCTCCAAGGACTCAGAATGTCCTCCAGGGACTCAGAATGTCCTCCAGGGACTCAGAATGTCCTCTCCAATATTTTTCGCAGAGGGATTTTTCAGGGACTCAGAATGACTCCCAATATTTTTCCGGGACTCGCAATATCCTCTTGGGACTCGCAATATCCTCTTGGGACTCCCAATATCCTCCCGGGACTCCCAATATCCTCCCGGGACTCCCAATATCCTCCCGGGACTCCCAATATCCTCCCGGGACTCCCAATATCCTCCCGGGACTCCCAATATCCTCCCGGGACTCCCAATATCCTCCCGGGACTCCCAATATCCTCCCGGGACTCCGAATGTCCTCCCGGGACTCCGAATGTCCTCCCGAGATTCCGACCATCTTCCTGGGACTCCAAATTTACTCCCGGGACTACAAATTTACTCCCAGGACTTAAAATTTTCTTCAAAGATATCAATTGGAGTCGTTGGAATACTGATTAATTTTTGTTGGGGTTTAAATTTTTAACTTCGGCATTTCTTCATAATTTGTGGTTAAATATTTAAACTGTTTAATTGCATTTAAAGTACTAGTTCAATTGAATAAGTTAAGATAGTGCCCAAAAATAGAAATATTCTCTGTAATGCTTGTCATTTGCACCAAGCCTTATTTGCTCGGAAACCGTACACGAAAACAATAAAAGTCAAAATAACCGTGCAAAAAGACTAATACTAACACTAACGCGGTAAACTTGAAAAAGTGAAGTAATTGAACTTACAAAACACTACAGTTATAATTACACCATAAAGTAACCTCAATTGGAAGGTTAAAATTGAAATCAAAGATTCGGTTACGGTAACGCCGAGGAAAGAATAGATTATGGGAAAGAACGAGTAGAAACCAAAAAATATACAAAATTTAAAAAATATATAATTGATGGCATTACTAACTCACCCATTTACTTCAGTACGTCCACCATTCGTCAATTGCCTGGCGTTCAGCAACGTCGTCCATTCCTTCATAACCTGGCCACCTTGTTGGGCCAACTCGTTCATGATTTGAGTTTCGTCCAAAGAGTGCAAGGCACTGCCGTGGCCACTTTCAGCCCTGGATAGAAGACCAATAAAATATATAAACTTCAGTACTACAATCTTTATATTAATTGAACTGGTACCTGTCGCTCTCCAAACTACTTTGGCTATGATCAAAGTCCATCATCAGGTCATCCGATGCAATACTTTCGCAAGGCGACAAAGTGTCCAACGAACCGCAACGACTTAACTCGTTTGGCCCATTTCGACGAAGCCTTAAGGAACTTGGGCTTAGATTTGATACAGGATGATTGGCGTTGGCCAATACTGCACCTGGTAATAAAATGATAAATGAAATTACCTGATCTATTATTTATTTATTTATTTAATAACTTCCCGTAGAGCAAGTTATAGTAATCGCAAAAAAATCGAAAATGAAAATTTTTGCATTTCTCGACGTTTCAAAGGTTTCTGAATATTTTGGCATACCTTAGAAAAAATGGATGTATGTGTGTGTGTGTGTTTGTATGTATGTGCGGATACAAATTTTCGTCGACGATTTCGGGAACACGGATCAACCGATTTGAATAATTCAAAAAACATTCGATTCGTATTGATAAGGAGACGTGCTGATTAGTTTTTGGCAAAGGCAGGTCTAGCCGTTCCGAAGATACGGGGCACTATTCGAAAAAAGTGCCAAAAATAGTAACTCCGTTTTTAAGAGAACGGAGCGTCCGATTTGAATAATTCAAAAACATTTCACTTTTATTGACAAGATGAAGAATTGATCAAATTTTTATGAAGGCAGGTCTAGCGGTTTCGGAGATCTAATGAAAAAAGTAAAAAAAATGCCATTTGGCGATCAAAGATGGTCATTAGACATATGCACATCAAATTATCAGATACTTTATAGAGATATTAACAATAAGTATAAATTTTGTTTTTATTCCTATGGGTTCCGTACCAATGTTTATCTGTTAGACAGCGACGTGGCGCTTACGCGCTTTATATTTTGTCTCTATGCAGTTAAAGCAGTACGATTGCTTTGAAAAAAAGTTCAGATCTTCCAAAATATGTCAAAATAAAGAAAACATTTTTTTTTCATAAAAAAATTCTTATATATATATATTTTTTTTTTAAAGTAATTGTTTGTTCAATTTATAGTTTCTCAAAAATCTAATTTTTTTGAAGTAAAAATTTTTCAAAAATGTTAATCGTTTTTAAAAAAAATAATAATTTTTGGTACGGGAAGTACCAGCAATTTGTCTTAAGACACGATGCCTTAATTGCCTTAAGACAGAATTCCACTTACAGCTAGTTTATTTATTTATTGAAGTAAAACTTCTTTAGGCGCGACATGGGTAATCCGTACAAATGCAACGGAAATTGTTACGCCAACGTGAAGTGAGAGTCATTCCATCTCGATGATATGATTTCTATACGGGTCGATTCTGATGCGTGACTTTATACGTGCGTGCGTCACCGAAACCTTGAAGCATATTGTTAAAATTTCCGGTGATATGTCAAAACTTATTAAGGTTAAATAGAAATAAATCGTGATTAATAGAAATGCCAGGATCGGAAGAATATTTTATCCCGTACCCCATAAATAATTGTAGTGCAAATGATCGCAAATAATGACATATGAAAAATCTGCGCTGCGTTAGAAATGTAAGTTTATTGAAGTAATTTGTATTATTCGAGTTTTTCGAGGTTACTATATACCTCTGAGGTTATTACTAAAATGGAAAATATTTTTATAGGCAAGACAGATACTACAGTTGCCCAAAGAATGAAAATGTATCACCAGCGAAATAGTCAAAACAAACAAGCAGTCAATAATGAAGTTCTACAAACACAATTACGTGATAACTGAAATTGTGAAAACAATATTTCTTCATTGGAAATTTAACGTAAGTTTACATGTTTCACTTTTATGATGGCTATGAAGAATAATTTTAATTTATTATGATAGTAATTATAAATATTGATGCAGGTTCAAAGTCTCTTACAAAGACGATGCAATCAAGATTACATCGTCAACTGGAGGAAAATAATCGGTTACTGCCAATTTATTAGAAAATCTTGAGCCAGAGGTATCGATTTAGATGTTAATGTAAACACCAATGACATAAGTAAGAATCTTTTCAAGCTATTTGACTCCTGAAAAACGCTACAACTATTCACATTTAAACATATTATTCTGTTATCTTTTTAGATGAAAGTACTGCTGTTACTTTTTCTGATACAGCAACTACATCACGTCAATTGCAAATTAATGATTCTGCATATAATGTGATAATAATGTGACAAGAACTGATCTTTTGCAAGAGTCAAATAAAGTATTTGAACTTTCATATGAAGACTTCAATTTGTTTAGGAATGCACGAAAATTGTTTGAAAAACAATTTACAAATGATGGCTTTGGCTATGTATGTTTTGTGTGTGATCGACTTTGGTTTCAAAGTGACTTAGAAATATCAAATGATGCTCAAAAACAAATTCTTAATAATGGTTTTTGAATATTGATTCAAATAATCAGGTTGGATGTCAAACTTGTCGAAAGGTATTAAATTCGGGTAAAATTCCCACTTTGGTGTGCTTAATTGTTTTTGAAGCCTGATATAATAATTCCAAGTTTTTTGTTCTTTAATTTGTGGCTTCTAGGGTTTAAAACTCTTTTTTTTTAAGTTTGAGTAGAGAAAGGTACTTCTTCAAGAAGAAGTCACACTGATTTAAATTAATATATACACTGGTATAAAAATCTAAATTAATATATACAATTTTTGGGAACGATTGCAGACTGATAAGATATCAAATGCTATAGAAATGATATGATTTCAAGAATCAAAATGCTTTCATCTAGCTTTTATATTTGGCTATATTTGTCATTTTCCATTTATACAGTGAAAACCGACTTTTTTCACTAAAAAAAACGGTTTTCGAAACCCATAATTTTTGCCAAAAAACCCTAGTTTGTATACAATGATAGATTAAATAGAAATGCAAGTGGATCGGATAGAGCAGATGAGCAATCACGTATAAAGAAAGATAGAATACCATCGAAACCAAATATTTTGGAGTTCTTTAAACTTGCTAATAAGTTGCACAGTACTAGAATCAATTTTACCTATATCTATCATGATTCTATCATTATGATCAAAGAAAATGGGTATGTCAAGTTTAGGCTGATAAACACTAATAAAGTGAGAATGCATCAACAATAGCATCAGGAGAATCATAATATTTGTCTAGATAGGACAATCTATTAGGAATAATATTAGAAGCAGTCTTATTACGCAAAAAAACCAGAAATATTTTGGATTAAGCGATAGAGAATATTCAACGTCGATAATATATGAATTATAAAAATCAGTACTTACTTTGTATAAGACTAGCAGCAGGTTGGGAGTTAAAAGTCTGCACCACCTTATTATTCGCCAAAGGTTGAACCCTGGGTCCAATTAAAGTGTGTGTCAAATTATTTGGCACATCTTGACCTCCACTGGTCAGTGTGTTGTCGGTGAGACTTACAAGTTGTAGACTTGTGGATAAACCATCAGCACTACTCGCTAAAAATAGAGACAAATCAGTATTGGAAAAAAATCTTTATGCAATCATACTTACTATTGTTCTTGTCATTGAAAACCAGTGCAGGCTGATCAGCAATTTCGTCATCAAAATAGTCCCTTCCTCCATCACTCAATGATAAAGAGTTGGATGCATTTGTAGGAGTACCAGGACTGCTGATTGCACCAATCATCATGTTGCTTGGTGGTTCCTGGTCAGCCAGAGAGTCAACTTCTTTATCCTTGTCCTTGTCCTTATCCTTATCTTTGGTCACACTAATCTTTTTCCTGAAATACAAATAACATCCTATTTGTCCCTGCTTTTTATATTCTATAATAATTTTTTTTTATCTTACGTTCCCAGAGCTCCATCAACATCATCTTCATTACAACTATCAGAAACACTGCTGGTACTGCTAATTAGGCTGTCGACTGGACTAGTCTCATCGTCCAATAAACAACTGTCAACTGCAGCAGCTGCAGCAACTGCTGCAAACTTAGGATCGTGTTCTATAGCACTTCTTAGGAGCAAAGTAGACGCTGCACTGCCTGAAGATCCGAGCAAAGACGCTAAAAATAATAGACAGGTAAGACATTTGTCTTGAATTTGCTTAAATCTGGTTACTTACAAGACATGAGTGCCTGCAAGCCAGTATTCCTGGTCAAACTTGTGTTGAACAACTTGGCATTTCCTGAAGTCTGATCTTCTGGACTCAGATTTGATGCAGATCCTGAATTTGAATCCAGGCTCAAAACATCAGCTGGTGCTAGATCTTCACCTCCGCAATCTAAACCCCAATTGTTTGATGAGCCCTTAGATCCTGGTGATGAATTTTTGGACGACGGTGCTGAGAAGTCACGAGACAACTGGAAGAAAACATAAGGTAATTTTGAAACTACATGTACTAAAAACACTCAATTTGTAATGATTGGGAGAAAAGGTGATTAGTTTTTGGCAAAGACAGGTCCCGCCATTTGGGGGATACAGAGCTAAATGTGCAAAAAATGGTAGTTTTTGAGTGAACTAAGCGTCCGATTTGAATTATCTAAAAAATTTTCTGCTCGTATTGACAAAACAATTGCTTTTGAGGATAAAAAATTATTACATCTTTTTTTATTTTCCATAAAATATTTTTGCAATTTTGGATTGAAAATTCAAAAAATTACCCAAGCTAAGCACAGTCTGAGCGTCACTCTGGTACAAATGCTTACCCAAGTGCGTTTAGACTGTTTGTGTGTGGAGCAATTTTCCAATTTTGTGAGAAACTATTGAAAAATGTGAAAATGCCGCCAAGCTAAGCACAGTATAAGTGAAAATGTCGCACAGAATTATTGGCAAATGCGTTTAGGCTGTGACTATACAGGAGCACTTTTTCAATTTTATGTAAATTTAGGCAATCAACTATTTTTTTTTAAATTGAATGATTTACATTTGATTTGCTCAGATATAACAAGTTAGCAAAAATAATGAAAGTTACAGTATTTGTAATGATATATTTGAAAACGTTTAAAATTTCTCGATTTTTTCATTATGGTACGGGAAGTTCCAGCAATTTGCCTTAAGGCACGATGCCATACACCACTAGTTTTATAAAAAATCGTACCTGTGTAGTCTTTTCTGATATATCCTTATCCCTGTTGGCCTTTTCTTCATCATCGTAAGTAAAACCTTCGCTGGATGAATTTGAAGGTTTTCTAAACAAATCTGTGACTGGGTTTGTTTGTGCCCTGAGTGCAAAGTTCGAAGATGTAGATGCACTGGATGATGAACCAGAAGCTGTAGAACCTATTTATGCAATAACAATTATTAGGAACAATGTTGACATAAATTCAGTCCTCATTTTTTTTTACCTTGGCTGTTGAGATCTCTTTGGTTTGTTTGGACGTTGGCAAGTCTTTGTAGGTCTCCAGTACGTTCCCTGACAAGCCCTGTATTCAAAGGACTGCTGGAGCATTGCTGAATGCTGATGGCAACTTTGGTAAAGGCAGAACTGGTTCTTCTGAAAATATAGGAATGAGTCTATTACCCTTGTCATCTAAATTTTCACAGGTCTATTATCCTTACCAATGCTCGAATCGTCAGTGTCCCGCACTTCGAATCCATGAGCACCGGTCATGACGACTTCTAGATTTCGAGGTCGTCCTCGGTACCCTTTGGAAGGGTCTGTAATATCGCCTCCAACACTTTGCATCCGTACACAGGCACTTTGCTCCCTTCTTCTGACACCATTGTTGACTGCCTGTTTGGCCAACTTACTTCTTTGGGCACTGGGGGAAAAGATAGGTAATAAAATTATTAAAAAACTAAAGAACTAATATGATGGGTATCCATTAAGTTGATCAACATAATATTACCAATTATGTATTGAATTGGATTTCCACTTGGTGGATACCAACTTTGTTGATCAACTAATACAAAGGAATTTGTTGGGAGTTGGGGAAAAAATAAAGTAAAGCCAGTGTCTTAATTAATTAAACTACATAAGGTTTAAAAATGAGAATTAAAGTTTATTTTATTACTTGTCCATTCTGATGGCCAACTGTGGTCTCGGCAATTGGGAACTGTGCAAAGTAAACCTGCCAGCAGGATTTGGATCCTGATTGCTCGTGTTAGTATTTGTGTTAGTAGAGCTGGAAAATGTGCAAAAAATAGTGCTCAAATAAAGGTGCATTCAGTAAAATCATATGTGATGGTAAAATAAATTTGAAACAATTAGTGCCAATTGGATGCGAATTTTTTTGTTGCTCTAGTTTTGTTGTTAGTAAGTTTAGTAAGCCAATTAGGTTGCAAATTATTTTACATTTGCTGATCAGAGTATTTGGTTACAAGCAGGGTTTCCAAAACCTAAATACCGGTATTCGGTATTTGAAATTTGTAATACTGGAATCCCGGTATAAATATCGGTATTATCAATGAAAAATTTACTAGTCATATTTTTGGTTACTGCAGTTCTTTATATTGACATATTACGTTATTATTAACCGTATGGTAGTTATAGTAATCGTCCTAGAATCGAAACTGAAAATTTTTGCATTTCTCGACGTTTTGAAGGTTTCTGATCATTTTGGCATACCTTAGAAAAAGTGGATGTGTGTGTGTATGTATGTATGGATACAATTTTTCGGTCACGTTTTCGGGCGCACGAATCAACCGATTTGAATGGTTCAAAAAACATTCGATTCCTTTTGATATGGAGATGTGCTGATTAGTTTTTGGCAAAGGCAGGTCCAGCCGTTTCGGAGATACGGAGCAAAGAGTGCAGAAAATACAAATCGAGTTTTTAAGAGATCGAAGCATCGGATGTAAATGATCTCAAAAACATTCAATTAGTAATGACTGGGAGAAGTGGTTATAATAGATTGAAGAGATTATAAGAGATGGGAAAATAAAAAAAGATGTAATAATTTTTTATTCTCATAAGCAATTGTTTCGTGAATACAAGCAGAAAGTTCTTTGAATCATTTAAATCGGACGCTTAGTTCCCTCAAAAACTGCCATTTTTTGCACATTTAGTTCTGTATCTTCGAAATTGTGGGTCCTGCCTTTGCGAAAAACTAATCATCTCTTCTCCCAATCATTACAAATTGAATATTTTTTAGATCATTCAAATCCGATACTCCGCTCTCTTAAAAACTCGATTTGTATTTTCTGCACTCTTTGCTCCGTATCTCCGTAACGGTTGGACCTGCCTTTGCCAAAAACTAATCAGCACATCTCCCTATCAAAATCGAATGTTTTTTGAACCATTCAAATCGGTTGATCCTTGCTCCCGAAAACGTGGACGAAAATTTCTATCCATACATACATACACACACACACACATCCATTTTTTCTGAGGTATGCTAGTAAAATGTTCAGAAACCTTCAAAACGTCGAGAAATGTAAAAATTTTCATTTTCGATTTTCGGCCCATTACTATAACTACCATACGGGAAGTTGAAAACGATCTTATAAAACAGAGTATTTCTGGATCAGCTTCATAACATACGAGTAGCGTTGCAGTTTATGTGTGAAACGCTTGAATGCACACCAAATACATGACATTTTGACAGTATTGAGCATGATTCATTAGCATAATGTATTAATTTTACCAAATCAATAATTTTCCCTGAGTCCTTTATCTTTTTACCTCACGATCCCAGGATTTGCCACAATAGGGCCACTGGTCAAAGTTGGCCTTATAGGAAAATTCAATTGCTGCTGAGGTGGCCTACTCATTGTATTTTGCTGATTCTTGACTTGATCATTTGTATTTGTTATTGTGGTTCCTTTCAATTTAATCTGGGTCTGTTGGCGAGTTATGGTCTGGTATTGACCTTCGCAACTTCTTGGCCTTTGTTTTTCTACAAGAGATCAAAATATTTTTAAAAATCCTTTGATATGGTTTTTGTATTTCTATTACCCACCTGTGTTATTCGTGTTATTTCCATTAATGTTATTGTTATTGGTTTTGTTGTTCTGATAGGCCTGGGTCGTCACTCGGCCGTCGGTTCGGGCCACATCGCCAACTCGGTTTGTGAGTTGGCCCAGAGGGCCACGGACAGGCTGAGGGCCATGACTGGCCGGAGCTTGCTGACGGAAACCAAACCTAGAAAGAAGAAAGAATATATTAGAAACTAGCTGTAAGTGGAATTCTGTCTTAAGGCAATTAGGGCATCGTGCCTTAAGGCAAATTGCTGGAACTTCCCGTACCAACAATTATTATTTTTTTAAAAACGGTTAACATTTTTGAAAAAAAATTACTATAAATTGGACAAAAAATTACTTTTTTTGAAAAAAAAATTTTTCTTATTTTGACATATTTTGGAAGATCTAAACTTTTTTTCAAAGCAATCGTACTATTTAACTTCATAAAGATGAACTATCAAAGCGCGTAAGCGCCGCGTCGCCGTCTAACGCGTAAACATTGGTATGGAACCCATAGAAATGTAAACCAAATTTATACTTATTGTTAAAATCTCTAAAAAATATCTGATAATTTGATGTGCATATGTCTAATGATCATTTTTGACCGCCAAATGGCATTTTTTTTTTTACTTTTTTCATTAGATCTCCGAAACGCTAGACTGCCTTTATATGAAAATTGATCGGTTTTTTACCTTGTCAATAAAGTAAAATGTTTTTTAAATTATTAAAATCGGACGCTCCCGTTTTTCTTAAAAACTGAGTTACCGTTTTTGGCAATTTTTGCCCCGTATCTTCGGAACGGCTAGACCTGCCTTCGCCAAAAACTAATCAGCACGTCTTCTTTTCAATACGAATCGAATGTTCTTTGAATTATTCAAATCGGTTGATCGGTGTTCCCGAAATCGTCGACGAAAATTTGTATCCGCACATACATACACACACATACACACACACACACATACATCCATTTTTTCCAAGGTATGCCAAAATATTTAGAAACCTCTGAAACGTCGATAAATGCAAAAATTTTCATTTTCGATTTTTTTGCGATTACTATAACTTGCCCTACGGGAAGTTAATTATGAGATTTACAAATGAAAATCTATGTGGATTATTTTCAATCAATTAGGTGTAAGTGGCATTTTGACTTTTGACCAATGAGTCATTTCAATTTCTCTTTTATTATTTGATCAACAAGAATCAAAGTGATTGTAGTATAGGTGTAAGTGGCATTTTGTCTTATAATATAATGTATTTTTAAATTCTGATTAGTAAAATCTAGTAATGAAATTTTGTAGGTACATTTATTAGTTAATTATAGACATTTTTTTGCATTTCTTTGAATACCTTGGGAATTTTGACCGGAACCTGTTGTTTTATATACATCAGTAAAAACTAGATAAAACTTACTAAAATGTAGTGAATATTGTTTTATACACTTGGATATTGAAATTTTCAATAAATGTTAGTTGAAATGCGGACTTTTGTAATTTGATAATTAGCAATGTTTGGATTTCGGACATTTTTC